GTGGTCAGGCATCCCATATCATGTTCATGGAGCTACCCAACATTTCTCCCCTTTCTGATGTCATTTTAGCTCTGCTCTTTCTCCATCAGTGTCACAAGGACAAAGACTACCAAGAACACATGATTCCTGGCATCTGTCATGTACTTGCATTTTTAGGGCCTGTGAACATGGTCTTTACTTCTAATCTGTTAAATTAGTGTCACTTGTTTTCCTGGACTCTGCTTGAGTTCACCCTGACTACCCCAAAGTGAGTGGCCTCATCCTCTGAGCTCTCTTCCTCACCCTCTGGTGAGGAGGCAGGCATGACAGGTTTTGTTTTCAGGCAGGGTCCTCATCAAGTGGGTGTGGACTTTTTCTTGTCTCCACATGCCTAACAGTGTACCTTGTAGCGTAATAATTGTGCTGGCTGCTATGCTACCATAGTCCAAGCTCTGCTAGGCACTTCACATGAACCTTTAAAGCCTTTTATGCAGATTTTACATATGGAAAATGAGTTTTGAAGACCAGGGGAAGCAAGGGGCTGGGATTAAAGGGAGGAAGCACAGAACCTACAGCCTAGGTTCAGATCCCAGGTCCTCTCTGTAAACCTGAACAGGCTTCTGTCCCTTTTGTGTCATGAGGTGTTGTAATTTATGTGGTAGGACAATGATTGGGAAGCTTAATGGAGGCCACACTCATAGAACACAGTGTATGGAACACAATAGGAGATGGAGGGATACTCCCTTCCACTTGGGCACCTCATTCTGGGTTACTAGACTGTGTAGGTGAGGCTGTGGCCAATAATATGAATCAGGAAAGGCCTAGAATGTGAGTGTGAGGAGGTGGTACTCCATCCTGTAAACAATGGGAAACACTTCCCTGGAAGTTTCTGAGTAAAAAAATTAAAATTTTGTGTTGGTGAGGTTTGAGTGCATAACAGAGGCAGGGAGTTGGGCCAGGGTCTGTTGCTAAGCCGGGGAGCTGTGGTGTGAGGATGACTGTCCAGGGATGGGGCCCTGGAGAAGGGGTGAGGGTGGGGGTGGGGACTCAAGCACAAACAAGGTACACAAGCAGAAGTGAGTATCCATCCATCTTCTGTACTATGCACCATGTGCCGTGTGTGTGGCCTCAGTTAACCTACCCAAGCATCATCCTGCGGGGCACAGAGGCCTTGTCTGAGCCACAGCACTGAGATGCTGAAGCTCCATGTGGCATATGTACCAGTTATCTTCTCAAGCACACATAGAGTCTGCTGCAATCACATGTGACTGGCTCCTCTCCTATTAGCGCATCTTGCAGCCTGGGCCCTGGGCCCCACCAGGAACGCACTTCAGAGTCACTCATCCTGTGTACCTGAGCAGCAAAAGCCTCAGATCCAGCTGCTGGCAGGGTTGCTTGCTTCTGTCCAGGCTCTTCTAATCTTGGTTCCCTTTGCCTGAGAGAATGTGTATCTATTAGGGTCAAACCTCTCTCTTTCCCATTTAAAAGAAGGGGGCATCTCAACTCTGTGTACACACACACACACCCCAGTGGGGAAAAGGAAGGCTGGGACAGAGCATGAGAGTAGTACTGCTTCTTGGAGGACTGAAAAAACAGAAATAGGCCAGTTACCCACACTGGAAGTTTTTCCTCCTACCAGAGATTGGAATGTGCCGTGCCTGGAGACAGCTGTGTCCAGCAGATGTATTTTATTTGAATCACAGTGTTTTAAGAAATTTTGAATTTGTTGTCATTTAAAAATCCAGAGATTTCACATTTAAAATTGGATTTTTGGCATCCAATTTGCTTCCTCCAGCAACTCTGTCCTGGCCTTCTTTAGAGAGCAGTAAGCCAGCCTCTCTAGTGACCATGGGGTCCAGAATCCCCACAGCCCAACCCAGCAGTACCTCCATCTTTTTGGAGGTCTTGCAAACTGTGTGTGAGTTTGCAAGGCCAGGTTTAAAGTAAAATTGGACTGGGAAATCAACGATCACCAAATGAGGAGCCAGCTCGGGGTTCCTCTAATATGGAAGTGGATTGAGGAGGGAGAAGGAAAGAAGCTGGAGATCAAAGGGAGGTCATCTAGGCAGTGTGTGAGGGCTGAGGCTCACTGGCCTATGACACAGTAAGCAGGTTTAGCAGCCGGCTCCTGCTGCCTGGTGGCCTGAGCTCTGTGAGGGATGCCCAAGGAGAACTCTGATAATGTCTAGTGCCCGCCCTGCATCTAACCTCCAGTCCCATTAGTGGTGAACACACAGACTCAGGAATTTTGCAGCAAAGAGATTCGCTGTCTCTTCTTATTCCTCCCCCAGGGGGAAAAAAAAAAAATAGACGGAGATTCCAGTACACCTAGTGTCTGCACTGTGACTTACAGATGGGCTTGTCTCTGCTTGCTTTGATAAAGGAGTTCAGGACTCCTGCTTTATTATTACCATGAACACTGTGTATTGAATAGACAGCACATGCAGGGTTTGTGGGATAGGTGAAAAATGGTTTTCTGTGGTCCTTGTGTTCATCCTTCAAATTCATGGCCATCACCACCTGAGAGTACTTAGTTCTGAGAATAACTAAGAGGGAGTATAAATCCTGCTTTCTTTGAACACAGCCCAGGGTTCAGCACATGTTTCTGTCCTGGCCAGCGCTAATCAGCTGTTCTCTTCTCCTTCCCTCTTTTGTGTCTGTAAATCAAGAGGCCCCAGTATTAGTCACTGCAAGAGATAATTAGTATAAGCCGCAACCTTCATACATCACTCTGTGCCTTGGATTCAGGCTGGGCTAAGAAGCTGGATAAGTTGTTCTAGCAGAACTTTCTTTTCAAGCAAAGCTCGGGAATCCAAAGGTTTCAGTATAGATTCTCTACCTTTCCCAGCTGTTAGTGATACACAGTGAGAGGGAAACCTAACCACCCATTTTGTGGAGTTTGCTTTTCCTGGACTCAAAAAGATGTCTTTAGAACCCAATGAATTTGAATCAGTAAATTTCTTAATGGTATAGTTTATAAATACTCTACCCTCCTCAGTGACAAGACGACAGAATAAGATGTCACCTTTTTCTTACTGCATCCCCTATTGCCCCTCACTCTCTTACCTCTGGTATTAAAAGAGCCCTGCCTGTGGCTCTGTTTCACATTAATTGAAACATTACTGCTCTGGCAGGGCTTATCATTAAGGGCCTTGCTGCCCCCCCCCATACACACACACAAGAATGAAGACTTTCCAAACCAGCTAAATAGCCTAGAAACTTCCTTCCCATTCATTGCTGACCAAATACTATGGGCCAGCCTGGAAGAATTCCCCTTGGGCATCTATGACTTTGGAGCTACTCAAATGCATCCTGGATACTATTTTTTTCCACCATGCAGTTTTTGTTCTGATTTTTGAATTTCCCCTATCATCTTTCCTATTTGGAAGCAGAACAAATAGAAGCCAAAGTAATCAATCAGTATGGTAAAACCTCACCTATTAGAACCAGAAATTTGATCTCTTCCTGTGAGGGCAGCACTAGCAGCGTAAACTTGGGCTTGACTGGCCTTTTTTCTGGCTTAGGAGTTGAGGGTATAAGATTATAGAACCCTAGAGCTTTTATACTAATGTTTGGACCACATCTCATCACATTGGAGAGCCACTAATTATATAAGAAGCATCATGCTGTATGTTCCAATGAGAAAAAGAACTTTAAAGATGTTCCACCAGTTAAGTGATGCTAAAACTTTTAAGGATGTCTCCACATGACTGGATTGATCAAAGCAGACTCTGGTGGCTTTGAAATCCATTCAGGCAACTTTGGTAACTTCTGCCCTGGGTTGCATTGCTTGATGTAAAAAAGGCAGTCCTTTTCAGTGATCTTAGCAACAAAATGTATGTAACACTGTTTCTTATCTCTGCAGGGGTATGTTTTTAAGCTAATAAAGCATTTGCTTATTCCTTTTCTAAAAATAAGGATATAAGGACCTTCTTTCGGGGATGTTTGTTTCCCCCATCTCAACCACACACACACACACACACACACACACACACACACACACACTTTCTTTCTGAGACTTTGTCCATTGTCACTTTCATTTCAATTCTGGGTCATAATAGAATCTTTTCCAAGACATTTAAATTACACTCAATGGTTGGTACCAGCAGTGCACCCAACACAATGGAAGAAACACATTGACACCTATGACTGTGTTGGCCATGCTCAAGCGTGGCATCAGTATCATGTCTGTTGCTGTTGGCAACAAAGGCTGTCCAGCCTGCTCAGCCATGCTTGCCTCCTGATTGGCTCAACCCTTAATCTCCTGAGCCTTAGCAATGATCTTTCCCAGCCTCTCCCTTTGCAGAAGTGATGGCCTTTATGGTAAAGTTCACTTTTTGATAAAGTGGATGATGAATGCATATACACAAATATGTTGTTAAAAACTGTAAAAGTTTTACAGTTCAACATAATCCCAATGCTGGAAGACAACATTTTTTCCCAGTGCACAGCAACTCCTGGTCCTGGCTTCATTGAGGAACAAGGGCTGGCCTTTCAGACCAGTCCAAGGCACAGATGGAAGCCACCAAGCCAGCATGTAGGGAACAGCAATGCTGAGTAAACTCCTGTGGCTTTGTGGCAACAGTGGTTTTGTTCCACGGACAGTTAAATATGGAATCTTGGAAGACTTTTGTGTTTTTGTTCAATTCTGAGGGAGCAAAATCCAAAAGAAAGGAGGGTGTGACTTAAGAGCTTTCATGGTCAAAATAAGCACTAGCAAGAAGGAATTACTGGGTCCAAACTGTTAAAGGATCACCTGCCTCCAAACCTAGCCATGTAGATACTGTAACTCATAAATTCTATTCCATCAGCCAACATAAAGAGTTCATTAGGAGAATGCAACAAGCATGCTTAAAAATCTGTGTACTTTAGTCATAAGTTCACCTGATTTGGGCAAGTGTGTACTGAGTGCCTGCATGGGAGATGCAAGAGGTCTTGAGGCAGGCTTGTTTGTTTGACAAGCCCCCACTGAGCACTTGCAGTGAAAACTAGTCTTTCTAATGTCCTGGGTTTTGTTCCAGCTGTAAAGGTGCCTCTCACTACGGCCTGACGAAGGACAGGAAGAGGCGCTCCCAAGATGGCTGCTCTGATGGCTGCGCAAGTCTCACGGCCACCCCACTATCCCCAGAGGCTTCAGAAGCTGCAGAGAGTTGTCAGGCAGAAAACAGCCCCTCAGACACTGGCCGGAGCAGACGAAGCAGAGGTGAGTCAAATGGGTGGGTGTCTGGGAGTGGGTTCTTGGCCTTCCTTAGGATTGCACTCTGAGGAATATTCACTATGGAAAGTTCTAGAAATGTTTTTGTAAAGGGAAGTGTTTCTGGTAGTTTTGGCAGCTACTCAATGTCCAGTTCTCCGAAGTGAAATGAAACCACAAGTACCTCAGATCATTAAAATGGTGTAATCTGATTTGGTGAAAGGAGCTAAAGTGAGCCCTCATAATTTATGGCTCCTGCCTGCTCAAGGAAAGCACTGTTTCATCCAGTTTAGCCCAGGAGGGAAAACAGGAGATTGTTAAAAACAAGCTGAATGTATTTCATTGTAAAAAAAATATAGGTAAGCAAATTCTATAATCCTTCCATCTAGATATAATCACTGTTTTATTGTATATATCTTATCTAATGTATGCATAAAAGGTGACTTAACTTGTAAGTACTATTTCTCTTATCTCTGTTTTCCTCAGTATGGCCTTTTCATCGCTCCTCAATTAGAAGCAGATCTTTTAAAAAAATTAGTAGAGCCTTGAGTGTTCTTCGAAGGACAAAGAGTGGAAGTATAATTGGAAACCGTGCTGACCAGAGCAGAGGAAACCATGAAAACGCCACTGTCTCTGAAGGTAAGTGCACTGCCCGTCAAGGATGGGCATGAGCTGGGCTTCCAGAGTGACATCAGGGTAGAGGACAGGCAAACCAGCATCCACCTTCTGTGACCTCTCTCTTCTCAAGGGCATAAAATGTTTTCACCTTGTTGGCTTACTTCACTTGTAGGTAAATGAGGGAAAAAACTATTGTTCTCTATTTACACAAATGACAGGAAAATTTTTAAAACCATTACCCTCAGGGACTAGATTAATGCACATAAGTAATAATAGAGGGAAAAGCTTTTAAAATGGTATTTGCACATAGTAAATGATATGACAGTACTTGTTCTTATTACAACTACTCCTCAATATAATCCTAAGAAGTAGTTACTATTTATTCCTATCTACATATGAGGAAACTAAGGCAGGGGGAGATTCTTAGCTTTTTCCAAATTATCTTGCAGTGTTTTGAATTCATAATATGGCTCTAGAATCTATGCAGAGCAAGCTGTTATATCTTAGATCCTATGTGTTTTCCCCAATATAAATGGAGCTGGTAAAGGACTGACTGCCTTACTCTTTTATTTTCGTTTTATGCTAGAATTTTAGAATAGTAATAAATATAGCTTTAAAAATTAAGCACTTTCTCTGTTCTAGGTCATTTTAAGTCCTTTAGATGTTGTAATAATGCAGGGGGACAAGGACTATCACTGCTGGTTTTACACATGAGGGCACTTGGGACCCAGAGTGATTAGGTAACTAACCCAAAGTTACCCAGATAAAAATTAGAAAACTAGGGGCCGGGGAGATGGCTCAATAGAATAAGAGCTTCCCTGGCAAGCGCAAAGGTCTGAGTTCAATCCCCGGTTCCACCAAAAAAAAAAAAAAAAAAAGACCTTGTCTCAAAATTAGAAAACTAGGATTTTAATTCAGATCCACCAACTTCAGAGACCATTGTCTTCACTGCCAGGCAGTACTGCCCTCCAAGACTGAGAGTTAGGAAGTAGAGCTCCAACCATTGGCTTTGTTATGCCTCAGAAAATTCGTGAACGATTATAGAAGCCTTCTTGTTACTTATTCATGATCACTTCACACCCTGTACATGCACACACACACACACATGCACGCACACACATATATCCCATGCTTTACTCTGAATTTACTCCAGTCCCTAACTACTGTATTTTTCTCAGCCAGTCATTGCAGTTGTTTAATCTGCATGGAATGTAAGAATGCATATTTACAAATTTCCAGCTTCCTCTGGCCACTAAATTAGCTTGTTAATCATGTTCTTCACTGTTTTAGAAGCAACTTAGTTTTTTTTCCCCTATATTGTTCCTGGGGCATTGAGGTCATTAGAAAAAAATGGGCTAAGGTCATAGGTTTCAAAAGTGGCCACAAAGAGTGGATTATGTAGAACCAAGGCCCACAGTGTTACCTCTTGCCAGATGACAACATTCAAGGAGACTTAGGGCAAAAGCGGCTGCTGTCAGCAGCTCCTGGAGACAAACATCTCAGCCCTCTGCATCCTCACTTGAGCCTCAGGCTATTCAGAGGCACCACTTTTCCCACCAAACTAGTTGTGGCTTGGTCCCAGTACTTGTTAAGGTCCCCTCTGAACACCTCTATTCAAACTCAAATGAAAAAACAGTGCTAGTTTGGCTCCTGGCTTACAGAGCCATAAGGACATCCCTGAGGACACTACCCAGACATGAATGCGGCTGCAGGAAACCGGAAGAGGCAGCCAGTGTCCTGTCTTCAGCCTCTGACCTAGCTTAGAGTCCAAATGCCTCGCAGCCTCCCACTAGTTAGCGCACCTCCCTCTGTGCTCTATGGAGGAGTGCTGTTCAGGCTGACTCATGTCAAGGGACACAGAGGTCAGAGTAGCTACTTGCTCTGCCCTATCACAATGGATGAGAAGTGGGAGGGAATGCTGAAAGGTTTTGTGTTTATAAAGACATTCTCGGGTCAAAACACTAAAGTTTGAAAACACCAACCTACAGGATCTTTGATCTCTGTTTAAATCTAAAGTCAGTGGCCCAGACAGATGAGGGACAAATCTCCAGAAGCCACCTCCAAAGCTCTGGTCTCTTCTTGAGTATGGCTTAGGCATTTGACTTCTCTTTACTACTAGAGAGGACTAAGGACCTCTCACGTATGAAAAGCAGGGCTTCAAGTAAAACATCACCGCAGTGATCTACAAGAGCAGAAGACCAGGATTGTTCTGGTTTTGGCCCTTGACAAATGAGTGATAAAGGTGCAGTTCATTCCAGAAAGACTTTCATTCATATCTCTTCACTAAGTAAGCTTCATCTGAAGGCTTCTGCATGCAGAAAGTCTGTGCAGAGCACGATGGAGCAGCCAGAACAAAGGTCCTGCAGATCTGAAAGTCCAAGAAAGGAGCACAAATAATAATAATAATAATAATAATAATAATAATAATAATAGGTCTAATGCCCTGAGAAGCAGAAGGTTCCTTAGAGAGAATGGTGTGTTTAGAGAGAACAAGGGAAAAGGATCAGGGGAGAGTTTAATTGGAAGAGATCATTTCATGGAGGCCCAGAAGGAAAAACTGGGTTTGGGCCCAAGATAAAAAACATTCCAGCAGACAAATGTACCCTGGCACCAAGGCAGGAAAAGTGGAAAACACGCACAAGGAACAAGAAATGGCTTAGTTTGGCAAGAAGAGTGACTGGAAATGCCCATTGGGTGGGTGTCTTAAATAAACACTGTCTTTGTCCATTTGAGTCTTTCCAAAGTTTTATCACCTGATTCCACGAGGGGAGGTTACCAGCATCAAGATCAACCGAGCGGATCCCGACGAAAGCCTCTCCATTAGGCTCGTGGGAGGCAGTGAAACCCCACTTGTCCACATCATTATCCAGCACATTTATAGTGATGGAGTGATTGCCAGAGATGGCCGGCTGCTGGCAGGAGACATCATCCTCAAGGTACAGCCTGTGCTGAAAGGCTGTGATAGGGTGCTCAGTACTAAAATCTGTTAGGGGTGAGTGGATGGATGGATGGATGGATGGATGGATGGATGGATGGATGGGTGTGGAAGGGGTGGATGGATGGATGGATGGATGGATGGATATGGGTGGGTGGGTGGATGGATGGATGGGTGGATGGATGGATGGATGGATGGGTGTGGAAGGGGTGGATGAATGGATGGATGGATGGATGGATGGATGG